TTTGTTAGACAAGTAAGGGACATTTCAGATTTGAGAATGAGTCAAATGTGTTGAATCTGTTGATTAAGTGATCTGCTTGTCTTAATTAAAGCAACATATTCACAACTATTAGAGTTATTGTGACGTCATTCTGGATTGGGCCCTTTAATTTTATTTATTTAATTCGGCCATAGGGCCATTCATACTTTAATTGGGCTAATTTCAGCAATTTTTTGATGGGTTTGAGCCCATTTTATGAATAGGCCCATTTATAATATAAATATTATTTATCAAAAAAACAAAAAATAGAAATGTTGAATTTTCCTGAATACGATCAGATTTCTTTTAGATTTTCGAACATGGTCTTTTATTCTAATTCCGAAATTCTGATTTTATTGCCAATTTCCGAAGGCTTCTGATTTTAATCGGGTGTGTCGCAGATTACATGTGCAGTTTCAGCTCTGCAGTTTAACTTAACGGGATGGCTTTTTCTTGACGCCCTTTACATGTTCGACGATTTGCTTCAACCAAATAATTTATACTTATATTTCTGTGTGCCCGCTGCCTGCTCTTCAATTCTACGTTCAACTTTGTAATGCATTAAGGATTCTCTCAGGCATTCCATTACCGTAATGTTTCGACGCCTTTCGCTTTCGGATATTCTATCTAGAACTCGAAGATTCTCAAGAAATGTGTCTTCGCCGCCATTCACAAAGTACCATCCACCACTAACTCATGCTGTTCATTTTGACAGTTTCAACAAGTGCAGCAAAAAGCAAGATTGCCTATTTCTTACATCGAATCCAGCTGTACTCGTCGACCCCTGTTTTCGACGTGGTAGCATTTCGAGTCCAGCTTCATCACTTTCAGGCTGTAGATTTTGCACTTCAGAAGCTTTCGAATCGGAGGAAACATCCGGTAGTGATTATACAGATATGGTCTACAAAACAGTGATGGATTACTCCAATCCCGAGTATCAAATGGAGGAGGCTCTTGATAAGCTAGCCTTTAAATTGACAACACCTGTGGTTGTAGAAATTTTAGAAAGGCTCCGTTTCGAGGAAAAAATAGCTTTCAGGTTCTTCAATTGGGCGGGCCACCACGAACATTACAGTCACGAGCCTGATTCGTACAACAAGATGATCGACATTCTTTCTAGTACCAAG